CAAAACACTTTCCACTATGCCGCTGCATGGGAGATATTGGAGCCGATTGGAGGAGAATCGCCTAGATAAGGAGCTTACCTTCATGTGGTTGAAATCAAGGACACTGAAACCTTCAACTGAAGGCATGATTATGGCAGCACAAGACCAATCCCTCAAAACGAAAAATTACCAATACGCCATAATGAAGTCAATTGCTCGAACTGATGCCAATTGCAGGCTTTGCAAGGGCAGCTTAGAAACAATTGACCACATTGTCAGTGCCTGCCCAGTTCTTGCTCGGACCAGTTACATCAATTGAACGACATAACCGGATAGTAAAGTATGTGCACTTCGAAATGTGTAAAGCACGAGATCTACCTACTGGTGCTTCACGATTCGACCACCAGCTCAAGGCATTGGTCAAGAGTAATCAGTATCGCCGCTATTGGGAGTATTCGGTCCCAACTGACCTGAAACTATCAGCAAACAGGCCCGATCTGCTCCTTGTTGATGACAAGGAGCGCATCGCCTACATTATAGACATCAGCGTTCCTGGTGAGAACAACATCAATAAGAAAATGGCTGAAAAGCGCTCGAAATATTATGATTTGAAGCGGGAGATTTCGAGGATTTGGTCCCTCAACCAGGTTGACGTGGTCCCTGTGGTTGTCGGTGCCCTGGGAGGCTTGGTGGGGGAGACTCCTCAATGCCTTCGGACTGTGCAGGGAGGAGACCTGGCTATTGTGCAACAGCAGGCTATACAAGGTTCGATTAAAATACTGAGAACTATCCTTAACATGTAGATGCACCTCTGCTGCGTTTGCATGTTCAATAGCTAAGAGACTTGAATAACGACTGATAAAGACTGATATTTCCTTTGTTACTACTCCCTTCATTGGTTGATGTATTTTGCCTGTCGCTGCAAATTCTTTATTATTGTTTTGATGTTGGAGTTCGGATTGAGTTTCTTTCCTTTCTTCCTCTTCCTTCAACTAGTTCTTGTCCCTTTGGTTTTTAGGTTTTATTTATTTATTTATTTTTGTTTTTGTTTTTTCACTTTCTTTTTTGCTGTCCCACCCATGCAAATATTTCCCGGTGGGTCTGGCTTATCGCCTTCGAAAGAAGTGAATAAAGGAGAAATAATACCTTTGAAAATTATCATGTTCAACTGTCTTCGTAATCGTCATACTCGTCCAACCGATGTCACCCTCACCCTGCGAAAAATCAGCTCATCTCTCCCGTAGCTCCACGCACCTCTCCTTCCACCATGACCGAACATCACCTATACCTCGTTGTTTTACTTATTATAACAATAACCATAGCCTGCACAGTCGATGGTCTCGATCCAGCGCGCTTCTCTGCACACCTTTTCGGAAAAGTTGCGAAGTAGTTTGTGAAAATGAAGAAAATTGCGATTTCTTGCAAAACAACGGAAAGTTGCGAAAAAAGTGGCCAGCATCTTTGGAAACGGGCTACTCCCGGAACCCTTTACCATGCGGACCACCAGCAGTGATCAGCTGCATTGTGCACAATTGTGTAGCTTACATACTGGAATTGTGGTACAACCATGTAGTTATGCTCCGACCTCCGAAAGGATGCCTCATTATGCTCCAAATTTTCAACCTCCAAATTATGCCAATAATTATGCCGGCATAATCCGCCGGTGCCTACTGCCGAGAACGGCCCCATTACTGCATTAGCTGCATCCATGTACCCCTTGTGCCTGGCCACAAGTTCCCAGTTGACTGTGGGTAGCAGCACGGCTGGAAAAACCGCTCCCAGGCAGAACTTGAACCAGGTGCTGATCGCTCTGCTCTCCCTCCCCATGCAGTTCAGTAACCCGCACGTAGTATCACAGATACATCGAATTCTCTCTCCCCCCCGTTTACCCGCAGTTATTAGTATCCTATTCTCTTACTATGTGCTTCCATAGCTTTTACTATGTTCTTCCATAGCCACTTCTAGGCTAAGCCTTCGCCGTCATTTTATTGGGTCGTCATCCCGTTTGAATGTGCGAAGTGAAATTAAAACCAACCAACCAACCAAGGTACCTCTCGCATCTCAATCATGGTCTTTGACCAACCCACTGTGCCTGCCTGGGGTTGCCGACCGGAAACAAGCCTATTTTTTGTTTTGGCCTCATCTTCCTTATTGGCCATGGGCCATCGTGGAAATAAAGAACAATAAAAAACTGTCAAAGGCAGAAAACTACGGCTGTTAGGTCCCCCACGGGGATTTCGCGAGGAGCTCTAAAAAATAGGCGTCCACTTCAAAACTTGTGATCATCGGCAAGGAGTGATTTGTAGTGTACATGTATATCTACTGCCTACTGTACTGGTAAGCGAGAGGACATACATGTACATGTACATTATTATTTTTATTCCACAAGGCGTGACGCCAATAAGGAAGATTGATACGTGTGGTAGAATTGATTTGATTTGATTGATTTTATTTTACTTCGCAAGTTCAAACGGGTTCCTGGCCCAGTTATATGAAAGCGAAGGATAGAATTTGCCAAAATCCTAATGAGCAACAGCATAGGCAATATTATCATAGAAGTGGAGTACTATGCGAGCGAGAATAGTGAGAAGAAAGGAACATGTCAAAACCTGACGAAACACAACCTATTTCAGGCATACAATCATAAGGAAGGCAATCTTGCAATCTGGATACGGTGCGCACCTCTCTAGACTCTAGGCAAACTGTTCCACAGCAATGCTCCTGCGGTGGCGAATCTCGTTTGGCCACACCGACTGCGAGCTGGCTGGCTGAGCAGACCATTGGCATGCTGATGGCGCGTACTTCTGCCGCTGCATGCTGCTGGTTTGAGAAGCTGGGCTAGAGCAAGGCTAGTGGAGTCATTTAGACAACGCCAGATGAAGATCAGGAGCTTTTGTTTAAAAAGTTCAGTGACGCGGTAAATCGAGTTGGCAGCCAGGAGGGGCTGCATCGCGGAACATGGCGGGCTGCCATCATGATCAATGCATCGGATCGCCCGGTTTTGCATGGCTTGCAGACGCTGAAGTTGGGTCACGCGGAGGGCTGCAGAGAAGCAGCAGGCACCATTTATCATATCCGGCATGACAATAGCCTTTACATTATATCTTGCGCGAGCTGCGGGAGAGGCATCGACGGGCTCGCCACAAGGCGCCTATCTTCCTCGCAACTTTGGTCACTATGGCGCTGACGTGTACATCCCAACTCAGGCGGTTGTCAAGAAAGACACAGTACTAGCCAGAAACAGCTAGATGGAAATTACCCCGCCGGGAGGCAATAAGCAATAGATCTGATCACCATGAAAAACAAGCGGGGTCAATAGAAGGGGTGATCGAGACTGTTACACTTTCGAAATATCAGAAACCGGGGGGGGGGGGGGGGGTACGTGGAGCAGGAACAGGTACTGCTCACAAGAAGACTGGATGCATTGTTTCGGAACTTGATAATTTCCACGATGTCGGGCTAGCTGTGATGTCAATAGGGAGTGAGTTGTAGAGGGTGAGGGCACTGTTGATGGGGGAATCTCGGTGCCTGTTTGTGTGTGCGTGTCCTATGGAGTAGGTCCTTGCCTGTCGAAGGGTGTATGGTTGGTGTTGACGTTGTTAGTTGGTTGGTCTTTATTTCACTTCGCATATTCAAACGGGATGACGACCCAATAAAATGACGGCGAAGGCTTAGCCTAGAAGTGGCTATGGAAGAACATAGTAAAAGCTGTGGAAGCACATGGTTGTGGTGCAAGATGTGGTTGCTGCCGGTGTGGTGAGGAGGTTTGGTGGCGGATGTCCCATGCTAGTAGGACTCGGAGTCGTGAGCTAAGGATGGGAACCTTTGCATGATGGAGGAGGGCACTGTGGTGAACTGGTGCAAAGAGGGGGGGGGGGGGGGGGGAATCCGAAGGCAGTCTACATGGTAAAGCACGGGGCTGAATTCTCTCCAGTGTGTCCCGTTATTGCTGTGTGGTACGAGTATTGGAGCAGGCAAGGCTGCCGCATGGCATATTCGAGAACGGGTCGGATGTACATGTATGTCGTGTACATAATAATAGGTTGAAAGCGTGTGCCATGTGTGGTGTGGAGTTGGTGTATACATGTAGTGTACTACTACTAGTAGTTTTTGGCTTCAACAGTTGGTAGTTCCTATGTATGATGTGTTGCCTGTTGGGTACATCGCATATCGACTCGTCTTGGAGTGTAACGCCAAGGTGCCTGTGTTGGTGGACCTGCTGCAGCAGAGTCGAGTGGATCATGGAGTGTGATGCGGATGTGTTGGGGTTAGAACTTGAAAGGACGACGGTTTTCGTGGTGTTGACGAGGAGATGCCAATCCTTCAACTTTCGTCCTGCCGCGTCCACGCCATGTTGGAGGAATTTTTTTTCATGCAACTGATAAATCCCTGGTGTAATCATGGCAATGCGTCGCGATGAGTGCCATGTCATCGGCAAACTGGCTGCATTTGGTGTGCGAGTTTGTACATGCCTGGGGGAGGTCGATCGTGTGCACCAGGAAAAGAAGAGGGACCAGGGCAGGAGGACCAGGACAGAGCTCAGTGTATTGTCTCGTAACCGCCAAGCAAGGTGACCATTGATTTTGACTGTCTCGGCCAGCACTCTATGTGGTACGGTATCTGTGCACCGTATGTGCCGGATACGGTATGCATATGGAGATTCCATACATGTACGCCACCCTGTTGGCACCAAGACTCGCAAGAGTATGATCATTCTACTCTTGCTACAATGCATTTGTATGCATGTAACTTTGTTGCAAGATATCGAAATGATTATGTAATTCACGAATCAGGCTGCCAGTCTGTGCCAGAGCGAGCCTGGATCTTGCATGCTTTCTTGTGCATGCACTGGCCCAAAGTAGACTAGATCTACCGAATCGAATGAGCTTGAGGCTCTCACCATGCTCACCGATCTCGGACCTAGTACCTCGACGCTGCAGATAAGATCTAAGAGTGCAGAGCTACAAAAAAATATGTAGAGACCAGAGTGAGACTGCCTAGCCTGATCACATGGCCTGGATCAGGCAGTCACTGAATGCACCCTGGCCTGGCCTGACGCTGTCTAGTCTGGACTGACACTTACTTACTGAGTACCGTAGACCTACCGTAGCGTTCCCTATGAATCATTTGTGGCTCTACATACGAGCAGCGAAGGAGAAAGAAACAGAACACTTTTTTGGCTGACTGTTCTTGCTCACCATGGCAGACGAAAGTGAAGCCAAGTCCATGGAGGTAGCATATAAGTATTATCCTTTTGGAGAGGTTAGAGGTAGCAATCCTCTTCCCAGTGCTTGGAATTCGAAAGACAAAGGGTCTTATATTGGACTCAGCAAAAATTCTCTTCGAGTTCACTATAAAGGTAATCATTGAGTATTTTCTTCAATCTTCTGATTTCAACTGTTGTCTCAGGGTCTACGTTGCTGTGTCTGTGTGTGTGTGTGTCTGCACGCAATTTGTGCCTTTCTCTTCCGTTTAGGGCCTTCAAAATCAAGCAGAGACGCATCTTGTGCTCGCACAAACTACCATATTCCTGTTGCCTGTGGATTGTACTATTATGAAGTGAAAATTTGCAGCAAAGCGAAAGAGGGGTATGTCCATTTAGCTTGTGGCGCTCACGCATCTCTTTCCAAGTGTCATAATGCTATTATTATTTTGGAAGCACTTGTTTCGTCGTGAGTGTTTCACATGGGCTTTCCCGTGTCCACGAGCTGAATATCAATTTTGATGTTTTTCAGTCCATGTATTAATTTTGAATTATGTCTCATGGAGCATGAGTAGCACAATTCAGGTGATTTATATGGGGGAATTTTTCGTCTTCCACCGCGTGCTTAATTAAAAGTAAGGGTGAAAGGAATACCGGTATCCTAAATCGGAACGAATCAAATATTTTTTTCACAGCCAGCAGAAAATACAAAAGTCAAATGGGTCATCGATTGGCGTAGAACCCCGAATTCCGACGTCAGATGCAGCTCGCGAGCCAGATAACACGAGCGGAACTTTCAAAAATAACATGCAGCTTAGTCTCTCTAATAAAAACGTACCCACGTCATGATTGGCGCTGCTGCGTTTGAACTTTAAAGTAGCTGGTGACAGTCTAATAGGGTTCAATTTTGAAGTTGGTCGTGACATTTCATCATGGTAGCGGAGAAAGGGAAAGCTGCATCACCAACAAGAACAAGATACGAACGGATGTAGGTGCCAGATGTGGTGATGCTCTGGCCACGCTCCTCGATGGTGAGCCATGCCTTGTTGGCAAATGTTTGTTGACAAGATGCTGGACTGGAAAGTGGCCGCATCACCCGGCATGACCCGCATTTATGCATGTGAAGTGGCCACGGTGACCAACGGCTGCAAGTATGATGATGGCAGGGTACCTCTGGTAGCACTAGTCTGTCCCTCCAGGAAATCGCGATTCCACGGATGCAACAAATTTCGCGATTTTCGCCCAAACCCGCGATTTTCAGCAAAATCCACGATTTCCCGCGTTTTTTGTTGTTTTCTGCACTATATCTCACTTTTTGTGCACTTTCCACGCAGTGCTTTCCATGATCCTGTAGGTTATTTGCATAGTACGACTCGGACTACTCCCGAGTAGGTATACGATGCAACAAATTTCGTGATTTGGCCCAAGTCCGCAATTTTCTGTAAATAATTCCGCGAATTCCTGGCAAGTTCTGCATCATTCCGCACTTTTCGTCGCCTTTTTTGTTGTTTTCTGCCGCAATTTCTTGCGCAAGTTTTCGAGAGTTTTTTCCCGCAAATTCCCGCATGGACAGACTAGTAGGCGTCATCGTGAACCACAGGCTTGCGAATGCGCATTCATATTCCGTCAATAGCTCCAGCGTATCGTGACAGTCCACTTAGTCCCTTGAGCCCTTTCATCACATTGCGCGACTTCTTTCTCGTAGGGAACTTGATGGTGTTCGGGCTTCGGCACAGGCATGAATTTCAAAACATCCACAGTGTCATTAATAACAGCACCTGCAGTAGACTTCCCGATGCCGTACAGCAAGGCCAAGCGTGTCATTGCGGTGTCACGGGATAGCCAATGAAGACTGATCGCCAATCTCTTTGTAGCTAATACTTGGTTTATCTCAGAAAATGCGACCCATCATACATGACGATCACAACATCGGAACTTGGAGGACACGGTAAGCCAGGAGAAATCGCATGCTAAAAGAGTTAGAGCGCATGCTCCGAAACAAAACAAACACACGCTGTACACGACATTGTACTTGCGTCATAGCAGAGAAAAGATACGCCGTGAATAAGCTGCTATGGAGAATTCGCGTCCCCAACGTCTTTCAGCGAACAGGATTATTTTCGGTCTTTGACCACTTTGGCGTCTCCCACCGCTTTAGGATCTGCATCTGCCTGGACCTTGATCGTTCAGAGTGGTGGCGTTCCTACGGATGCGGAAAACGCAGTCTAACTGAATCTCGTGCCAACCATGTTTTTAGTGTACAATATGACTTGTCTCGGTCTCAGTTGCCATGGTTACCGACTTAAAAAGGAGGTTCTCTGTAGCGTGGGTTATTCTTTGATAATCTGAGTACTGTGTGATGACACTGTCATCTTTGGTTCTCCTCTCTCTCAGGTCATTCTCCATTGGTTTTGGACCGAAGAAAGCCAGCATCGAGCGATTACCAGGTGAGTTACCGGTACCTGCCAGCCGTCTCTCCCATGAGTACTGTGGTGTCTTGTATAAAGCCTGTCTCGTATAGAAGCCTGTTTTGAATAAAAGCCTGATTTTGAAGATACACTGTCGGCACATAAGCCTGGTTTTAGTAGTGACGTACATAGAGGTAGGTGTTTTGAATAGAAGCCTGACTTGAATAGAAGCCTAGCGCTGACATCGGCTTCTACAGGAATAAGCACGGCGTTTATACGCGACATTACAGGTATGTCGGTACTTTGGTTTTTTGGGGCCTGTCCTGGTCCAGAAGCTGAATGATACACTCATGTGGCTAAGTCAATGGAGCCTTGTAGTTGTGTACTTGCTGATGTTGGAGCAGGATTCTCCAGTTCGATTCGAACCAAACTTATGGCCCAGCGAGCTGCATGAACGCCTGCCACCCGTATCATTGCGAGTTGTTCTAATGTGCTTTCGCTCTTTGCACTTCTCCTCGTTATGACAATGCACTGCCCGTGTTATGCTTGGCTGTTTTCAGGCTGGGAGGACTGTTCGTACGGATTTCACACGGACGACGGCCAAGCGTACAATTCGAACACGGCCAGAGAGGGATACGGGCGGAAAGTCGGTGCTGGCGATGTGGTCGGTTGCGGACTGGACTTTGTGAAGAAAAATGTTTTCTACACCGTCAACGGTGCCAATTGTGGTGAGAAATGGCCAACTGTTTTCTTTTCTTTTCTTTCAAGTTGCTACAGTGCTGCTCAATGAAATCCAGTCGCATCACTCAAGTACACGCCGGGCGTTGCGCAGCCCTAGGCCTGCTTACACTGGGCTGTGAAGTGGTGCAAGGCGCAAACCCGAGTGACGTGACTGGATTTCATTGAGCAGCACTGTAGTATTTGAATATTCTACTATACAGTGAGACTTGCCTTGCTGTCCGACGTGGGAGCAGATGCACTCTGCAGCCAGGGTCTGTTCTTAGCTCTGAACTCCCACGCATTCGCCACCAGAGCTTTTTTTTTTCTCACTCGGGGGCAACACCCGGTACAGTCATACCCAGCACTCCGCTTGACCGAGAGACCATCCGCTTGTTGGAACAATCGGGGGTGGGGGATGTGTAAAGGGAGTTTGAGCATACACCTGGTATCAAGAGTACATAACCCCCAGAGTGTGCAACGCCGATCCAGCTCTGCATAGGGTCTTGGTCGAGCGGAATCGGATCTTCTGATGTCATGTGTACACTCCACACCAGCGCAAGGCCGGTCTCGAGGCAGGGCACCATTGTTTTTGATCCAAGAGCACCAGTGACTCCCCGGGTTCCCCTCAGATGTGTACGGTATTATGACGCAAAGATCCGACTCCGCTCGACCAAGACCCTATGCAGAGCTGGATCAGGCGTTGCACACTCTGGGGGGTTATGTACTCTTGCTGGTATGCTATGCCATTTTCTTTTGGTATTTCGACTGCCGAGTTTGCTTTTCAAACTGCTGGACATGTCCTGTTGTGAACCTGACTACTTGTAGCAAACGTGTGGATGTTTGTGCCTGGTGGTTGGCTGGCTTCTGAGGATGCTATAGGATCATTCAGTTTTCTTCCCTTTGTTGTATACTGTACGATCGTCCATTGGTTTGTTGCTTATGCTTCTTGTATGCGCGCACGCGTGCGTGTGTTTCTAGGTCTTGCCCATACCAACCTTCACCTAAACAAGGATGTAAGTTCTCCGCAATCGTGCTGCTTTGCAGTTTTTCCTGCGTGCTGCTCCGCGGTCTTTTCTGCGTGCTGCTTCGCGGTCTTTTCTGCGTGCTGCTTCGCTTTCCTGCGTGCTGCTCCGCGGTCTTTCCTGCGTGCTGCTCCGCGATCTTTCCTGTGTACTGCTCCGCGGTCTTTCCTGCGTGCTGCTCCGCGGTCTTTCCTGCGTGCTGCTCCGCAGTCTTTTCTGCATGCTGCACTGTGCCTGTGCGTGCTTGTCTTGCTCTGGCCTGCACAGCAGTTGTATGTACTTGTGGTACTACATGTTAGTTGATGAGTCGCTATGTAGAGTGTTGACTTTGTGAATGACATTTGCCGTGTGTTCTGCTTTCTGGTGTGCATTTGTGCCGACGTGTCCTACTGCAGACAAGGATCTTCCCAATGATTGGGCTGACCTTGTCGAGTGATGCAGCCGAGGCCAACTTTGGAGATCGCAAGTTTGTGTTCGAAATCGATGCTCTCCACGAGGTGAGTTGAGCACTGGGAAGTTGTATGATATCCGTATCGGCGGAAACAAGTCTCCGTGTCAACAATAATTTTATTTCGGCTTTCATTGACATTTTGACATTATTTTTATGATTTTATTTATTTCAAAGATTCTCCAAAGACAATTTGAGGCCTATCAAAGGGAGTCTCCTAAAGAATGTTCCAAGTATAGCGTCGCAGCTAGGCAGGAAGATGTGGAATTGCAAACCATTACCACACGTACATGTGCCATGTACAGTGCACGTGTGTCGTCAAGAGTGCACCACTGCCAAGAGTGTGCAACTGCCCATACAATCTCTAACCGGTGATGCGACGGCAGAACTTTACATCGCGTGACACGGTTCAATAGGCTGCGCTGGCAAACAGTGCAAATTGACCACCAGAGAGCTGAACCCGAAATAGAGCCAGGTTGCGTACAACCCTGTATCTATCATGCACAGGTCGTGCAGAACCGTCGCAGACTCCATCGACTGGAGTGACACACTCCAGGGAGTTATGTACTCTTGGTGCTGTGCAATGCCTGGATTTGTATTGTGTTGTATTGTTTATTTACAGATTCTCCAGAGGTAAATGAATAAGGGGTCGTCCGTAATTATCGAAAAATTAAAAAATCCGTCCTCGTGCAAAATTGTCTCTGACCCACCTACCCACCCCCATTTTTTCCCATTAATTTTTTGATTTTTACAATGCCCAGCGAAACATTAATAAGAACTCTTGACCCCATGTTCTCTGACTGCACCTACATGTACATGTATATGTCAAGTACTAGTACAGTAGTAGCTACAATGTAAGTAAAATGAGTAGTAGGTCTACCAACGGCCATGCACATCCTACAACTACATGAAGAGTCATGTATCATACTGGTGGTTGCGACAATCGATCCTACACTACAATGTCTACAGACTCGGTACACTACACACAGTCATATCAGTGCAACAAGTGTATGAAAGTCACTGATGTAAAAAAATCAAAAAAATCAAAAAGTACAAAAAATCAAAAAAATAAATTCCGCCAGCGCTCTTGACCACCCACCCCCTTTTTGCCTGAGGACGGATTTTTTAATTTTTTTCGAAAAATAATAATTTTTTTTATTTGCGTCGATTCGCACTAAACCTTCCCATTGGCTGCGTTTGACCTGCTGCATGCATGTTTCCATGTACGTGTTGTCCACTCAGGCGAGAAAGAAGCAGTTCTGTGCGCAGAGCTTTGGATTTCAGCTGGGTGAGGAGCATGCCATGGCTGTCGCGGGCATGAGGACGTAAGTAGTTTTTTCTGGTGCAAGCTGAGTGAATTGCTGGCGTGCAGCCCTGCCGCAAGCCGTTGTTGATGTTGGACGTGAGGTTGCCACCCGCCCGCACTTTCACCTGCATGGACTCATGCAGTGACTTGATGATATTCAGCATGGTGGGTGGGCCGCCGGACTTTTGCTGGAGGGCCCAGAGCGCCGGCCTCGGGATCGAGTCATATGCCTTCCTCAGGTCAACAAACAGAGCATAGTGGCACGCCATGCTCAATGGATTTTCCACCAGCTGACAAGCAACATGGACCATATCCATACAGCCACGATCCCTGCGGAAACTGCACTGTGAGTCGGGAAGAACGGACTCGGCGATAGTCTGCAGGCGGTCCTGGATGATGCGGGCGAAGAGCTTGCCGACAACGTCCAACAAGCTGATCCCCCTCCGATTGTCGCACTGGTGTAAGTCGCCCTTCTTGGGGATGGGGATGATGACTGCACCACGCCAGTCAGCGACAACATTGCCCTCCGACCACACAACGCGTATAAGTTCGACATGACGGGTGTGTAGTTCGCCAAGGCGTGTGAGGATGTCAGCAAGGACTGTGGATTTGCTAATGGCTCGCAGCGGCATTGTTTCATTGGCTGGGTTAATTGTGCACTCCTACACGTGATTTTGAACATTTGATAATACAACGACTGCTGGACATCCACAAGTCTATGCGCGGCCCCTTGTGTGCAACCACCGTCTTAGGGATTGAAATTTCCCGTGCTCTCTGATCTCTTCACGACTCTTTGACGAAAGGGCACAGATGTAACGTACGGTTGGGTGAATGGTTGGGTCGTCACTACTGACATCGATGTGGAACACGTTCTCGAGGGCTTTTTTTTGTAATCAGACACTGGATACTCTAATTTTCAGGATTTCGGTAGGAGGGCAAACGACCAGGTTAACTTACTTCAAATAAATGTTAGGTGCAATGAAGCAGTTCCCTATTGGATGACACGTGTCAGTATGTGTGCGGCTATTGAAATATTTGGTAAGCAAGGGATGTAAGCAAAGTACCGAAAATACAAGTACATACATATACTAGTATTCATTATAAACTACACTGAAAATCTGTGAAATTGCAGTAGCTTGTCTGTTGGGGACATGAAGTAAATTGGTTGTGCGTTCTTAAAGCCCCCCCCCCCCCCGACTCTGTCTCTCTTTCTGTCTCTGTCTGTCTCTCTCTCTCTCTCTCTCTCTCTCTCTCTCTCTCTCTCTCTCTCTCTCTCTCTCTCTCTCTCTCTCTCTCTCTCTCTCTCTCTCTCTCTCTCTCTCTCTCTCTCTCTCTCTCTCTCTCTCTCTCTCTCTCTCTCTCTCTCTCTCTCTCTCTCTCTCTCTCTCTCTCTCTCTCTCTCTCTCTCTCTCTCTCTCTCTCTCTCTCTCTCTCTCTCTCTCTCTCTCTCTCTCCTTCTCTTATACTCCTCGTTTGCATTCATGCATGTTTGTGTGTGTGTGTGTGTGTGTGTGTGTGTGTGTGTGTGTGTGTGTGTGTGTGTGTGTGTGTGTGTGTGTGCATGTGTATATATATGTGTGTGTGTGTGTATACATGTGTGTGTATACATGTGTGTATGTATGTTCAGCATGGTCTTGTCCTACCTCACCACCCACGGTTACCTGGACACGGCGCGCAACATGGCCCACGGTGCAGGCAACCGACTCCACGAGAACAGTGCGTTTGACCAGAACCGTCGAGGTGAGCTGGTGCCGCCTAGCCACTCCTTTGTATCAAGACAATCTCTGAGAACAGACGCTATGTGTGTGTGTATATGTGTGTGTGGCCAGAAAAAGCCACTTCATAGCTGTGTGGTGTAGTCCGTGTAGACCAGGCTGAATAGTGGCGGTCAATTCTTCAGCCTTGCAAGCTGTTGAATGGTGCAATCCCAGCACAAGTTGCTATGGCGTCTACTGTAGCATCGCTATGTGTGTGTGTGTGTGTGTGTGTGTGTGTGTGTGTGTGTACGTGTGTGTGTATGCGCGTACGTATGTGTCGGAAATGACAAGCCCATTCAATACACTTGGGAGTGGAATAATCGCAATAGATTATCACTACAGTAGAATACGGATAATTCGAATATGGTGTAGTTCGAAGGTCCTGCATATTTCGAACATTTTCCATGCACCGATTTCTGCGTGTACAACATCCATATAAATGATTTTGATAGTTCGAAGTAGGTACGAACAGCAGTACTCGTTTTTTGAAGTGCTTCACGAGCACAGACGATGCCTTCTGCACAGAAACTAGCACCGATAATTCGAAGTTCATGACATTCTTATTCGAACCGACTAGCACGAGGACTTGTACCGTGCCTGCTGTGTTTCGCTGAAATCAGTTCTCATGTGTGTATTGCCTTGCATCTGTATGCGTGCAGAGATTGTTGAACTGATTCTGGGCGGTCAAATCAGCTCGGCTCTGGCTGCCATCAGCGACAGCTACCCTCAAGTGCTGACCGAGAAGAGCGAGCTTTCCTTTCGCCTGCACTGCCAGCAGTTCATTGAGATGGTGAAGCAGGTGGACGACGGCCGCGGACGAATCGCGGTGACGCCCTACAACCGCCAGCAAGCGTCCACGGCCAGCGCAGGAGGAGACATGTGGGGCACGAGCAGCACGGGTGTGTCTAACCAACGCCCGGGCCGCGTAAGGGCTACCACCGGCAGTGATCACTCGCCGCCGTTGCCCGCGAGTGGCGATGGAGTGATGGACGAGGATCGACTGACCTTGCCATCTCTCAATGGCCATTCTAAGAGCACCGACAGTGGTGGTGATCACGGAGGAGAAGCAGAGTCGGTACTTTCGCACCCCACAGCCTGTGCCAGTCCGCGTAACGGCGGCAGTGACACGTCGATGGAAGTGGACGTGGTCGGCCTGGACGACTCCGATGACGCCAGTGTTGTGAGAGAAATGCCAATGGATGACGGAGATGGGGCGGCGGTTCCTACGGGCGGCGTGCAAGCGGCTACCAGCAGTAGTGGTGAGTTGCAGTATGTCCCGATATAGCCTATCCAACAACCAACCCCTCCCGTTCTAGACCTGACTTTGCACGTTGGCCATTCATGACAGCGTTGTGACTTCAGCCAGCGATGGCGCACACGGCAATCCCGTTGGAAAGTAGAAACTTTGAAAGAGAAAAAAAGGTGCAACGTTTCACCTCTGCGCACCCGGAATGCTGGTGCTTGTGAACATGCCCACAATGACCACAGTACATGTACATGTACTGTGGGGTGCCAAAGAGCTGGGAGGGGGGGGGGGGGGGCGGGTCAGCCTCCTAGCCTAGGCCGGTCTTGTTTTCATGTACTCCGATCTATGCACAGTTGAGGCACCGTGTGTACATCGGTAACTTGTGCTGTGCCTGGTGAAATCCTAGCCCGTTCGTTCTTCGGCACGCGACTGTACTGTACACCACTAGTGGTAGGTGGCGGCAGTATTTGAAAACTGTAAAACGACATGTTACGGTCATGGTGCGTGTGTACGGCGTGGACCTCCAAAGCCAGCAGCAGAGGGTGGTATTTCCAGCCCAATGTGCTCGTGTGCAATGACCGCCTGTATTCAAGGAGTGCCCGTCCTCACTGGTGGCTCCCGCTAGGCCAGGTTTCAGTCCTCTACCGTAAAAAGTCCGTAAATAAGTACGCGCTCGAAATAAATACCCCCTTCCTTCTTTTAACTCTGTCTGTTCGGAGTGAGTCTGTTGAAGTCAAGTCAAGCCCGATAAACATACTGCCCGAAATACGCACCGGTGCGGTTTGCACATGCAGCACACCGCATGTTCATCTACATGAAAATGACTTCTCCACTACACACAAGTCGGGCCCGGAAGTCAGTGCCTGCCCGAAAGTTAGTACGTGCGTGACCACTAAATTCGAAAGCAAGGGCGTACTCAGGCGCATAGCCCGCATAAGGCACGGGGGGCACGACCTTGGGTCAGCATGCACATAATGACCATGAATGACGTGCGCCAGTCATCCTACATACACATCATGTACCGTACCCACGGGATTAGTGCCCCTGGGGCACTATTTTTTCAATGTCCATCACAGATGGGGCACTAATCAAGAGAGGGCGCTGTTTTTTCCATGCTGGTACATTTGCGTCATCCAGCATAAAACAAAGCAAACCAGAGCCTAAAGTTTACTGTAAACTATCACAACTCGACATAAACGGTAACAGGAACTGGTATTTTGAATCTTTGATCCTGAAACCACCAGAGCAGTGAGATGGACAAGTACATTAGCAAAATAACACCTAACTACTTGCACATGCGCTTGGTTACCAGCTGGGGGGGGGGGGGGGGGGGCACTATTCAAGAGGGGGCTTTATTTTTCACTGGCTCTTAGAGACTGGGCCACTATTCAAGAGAGGGCTCTAATCGCGCGAGTACGGTACATGCTTGCGGCCGTGCCCCCCCCCCCCCCTAAAAGGGGGACCAGCTACGCCCCTGGTGCTTATTTCCGGACTTTTACGGTATTGCTTGCAGCGTAGTACAAATACTTCAATGAGCTCTCGCACTCGCGTGCGGCCTGGCATCCGGTCTGCCGACATTCTTGTGTTTGTTGTTCGCATCCTGCGCAGGCCCTCAGCTAGCGGGTAGCTCAGATGAGTGTAAGGGCAGCGACGACCCCAACGGCGACGACTCTATGAATCGGATTCTCGAGTACGGCGTCTCTCTTCAGAAAGAGTTTGACGATCTCCTGGTGGTTCGCGTTCACCTGGACGAGCAGAAGAGAGTGGCCGAAAGCCTGCGGACGTTGGTCAAGGTAAGCCGTTGCTATCCCTGACTGTCTTGCACTGACATAGTAGTAGTATTTATTTTATTTACCATCGGGGGATGCCTCAACAGTGATATACACGCATAGTCTTTGGTTGACAGTGTGCCCGGAGGTTGGCAACACCGTATGGCTGGCCTTTTTTTCTTTTCTTTTTTCGGTCTGAACTTTAAAGAAGAGTCGCAGTTGCTTTGTCCTTCTGTTGCACTATGATACTCATAATCTGTGTGTGTGTGTGTGTGCGTGCGCGTGCATGTGTTTGTTTGTCTGTCTGTGTGTACGTGTGTGTATGTGCATGCACGCATGCGTGCCTACTTGTAGGATGCATTCAGTCTAATCGCGTACGAGGACCTGAGCAAGAGTCCCAAACAGCATCTCCTGGATCAGAGTCACAGGGACGACCTGTCGTTAGAGGTGAACAGCGCTATCTTGGGTAAGCCGTGATCACTAGCTGTTTGCTGTGTGTAGGTGTTTGAACTTTGAACAGCACAACAGCTTACAGTTGTGTTGTATGTGTGTGATGCACACCTTGAGCCCCAGTTACACATTATTCAGGCCAACCTCTTTAGGACACACACACTGACAAGGTGAACCTGTGCCCCGACTAATCTGGGTACGCGTGCTGTACCTTGCAGTCTCACCATGAACCAGGAGAACATTCGCAGTACAACGGGTACACTTGCACACGATAGTAACATACACAGCCATACGCAAGATCAGACCATGAATGCCATAAAAGTGATCTTCACGCTGTGCTGGCGTGTCAGGGGTGCACGCACTGCTCGCCACAATCCGTTTCAGCTCCCAAAAGCATTCGCACGTAAAAACCCACGAGTCGCATATCAGTTGCCACCACTGAGCCAGTGTTGTAGCAGCACAGGCCTCCGCAATCCTAAGCCACACTCTCTGAATCAGTAAAGCCGTAAAGTTCTGTAGGGTACGGTCATGACTAGGAGTCTACCCATGCCAATCATCATCCGTACAGTGACTGTAGATTGTGCTGCCTTCCTCGCTGCCTGCTCACGCGCACGGCATTTGCAAGTGAAATCCCGACCGATGTGAAGGCCACTCAACCTCCACATATTGGGTGGTCTATCTCTCTCTATCTATCTATCTCTCTATCTCTCTCTCTCTCTCTCCCTCTCTCTCTCTTTCTTTCTTCCTTTATCCTACACCCATCACGGGGTCATCACAATCAGTATGGATTTCCCTTACCAAAACTGTAGTACATGTGTACTTCAAGCAGTATGTTACTATGATGCAAGTGTGATGTGAAAGTCTACGCTTTTTTTTGTATTCATTTCGTAGTGTGCAAGGTCACACGTCTTGCAGTACGCTTTTATCATGGAAATGCGTTCTCTAGGATTCAATTGCTTGCTGCCTCTCCAGTACTTGACACAGACCTCTCTCGTGTACTCCTGCATGCTGCTAACTCTCGTGTACTCCGGCATGCCTCTAACTCTCCTGCTCCAGAATCTCAGAAGATCATGCCCGTATCCACACTAGAGTTAACAACGCGTCACTTGCGCTACTGCCTGCAGACAAACGCAGACAACGGCACGATACCGGTCTTTCCGCTTGCCGTCGACGATTTCAGCAAGGGCTCCCTGAAGGAGTTTACGGAAACGGAAACGAAGCCGGAGTCGTAGACGGCAGTGCTGCTGGACTGACCTAGTGTGTCCAATCTATCAGCCTTGCTGCTATTCGCTGACATCCGGCACTGCGTGTTGGTGAGCCACTGCTGCTGATGCCGCTGCTGATGACGCCGGTGCTGCTGATGCCGCTGCTGCTCTATCAAGTTGGGGTATCCCCTAGTGCCCGCTACCAATCTATCTGTTTTTATCATGCATCGAAACTAGCATCTGTATCCGTATGTCCTCGCTGTTGTTCTTGTTTGTTGTCATTGTCGTCGTCGTTACTGCGGTTGTTGTTGTCGCCATCTGTAGCAGTGGCAGTAGTGCTGTGGTTGCCCTCTCCCTTCCCCCAGAATCACTGCCCCTGTCCGTTTCTTTTGCTGTTGCTCTAACCCATCGGTGCATCCTTGACTCTGGTCTATCAAGTACCATTCAAACTTATAATCAATATCAACCTCCGAAGTCATTGAAGCTTGTACATACGACATGCTAATATCCTAACCCTCATCAACCTCATTCATCAAAATTAATTTTATCATGCTGATCAGCTGTGAATAGTGACGAAAATAAATTGCGTTCGCTCTCTGTACAGTGTATATTTATAAAGAAAAACGGCTCGCTAGCGGGCAATTCCCGAACGGCGGCGGCCATCATCTTCATTAGAAACGAGTATCCGGTAGCTCGACTCGATGGAATGCTGCTTCATCTGCAGTACACGCAAACAATCAGTTCTTTTTTATGCTTTTTATTATAGCGTTATCTCTCATATCCTCACGTCACTCATTTCATTTGTTACCTCGTCGCCATCAGTAGGCGACATCTCACGGTGTATAGGTCCATACTTATATAGTCACCTGCTCAATTGCTCCTGCATCACTCATGCCCATGTAAGTGGCAGTTGCCAAATGCTACCATCCGTCTTGTGTTTTTTTGCCTTTTTTTAGTGCAGTGTGCATTGTGTTTAACTGTCTTTACTCTGTGCGTGCGCGTATGTGTGTGTACGCGTGCTGCTGTACAATCATGGATATTTCATCTTCTGCTTTGAGGGTTCTTTTAATTATTGCATGACGTTCAGAGAAAATTAAAGAAACGATTCTGGTCTTATCTTTCGTATCGATACTGTGTGTCTGCGCCTGTGTCTGTGTGTACATATTATGTTTGGAGGAGTGGGTGATGTGCGTGATGTGTGGTGTTAAATCTAGAGCCAGGTTTTTAGCGGCATGTCTGACTGGTTTTAAGGTTATTGGCAAGATGGAGATAAATCTTAATAATCTCTCCAACAACTTCAGAAATGTAGTCAAAATGGCCCCAAAGAATTGAGCTGGACTACTCCAGCCACCTTGGCGCATGGCTCTAGAACTACATGTACTAGTACTACAACAAACTTGAGCACGATCATCATGCAGTCATGCATGCTAGAGTCTGAAGACAATTCCAGCTTTTGCTGAATCGGAAGAGTCTGAAGAGGTAGCATTTGGAACTTGTGATTGTGTCTACCTGCATTTCCTGGAATTGCCAGGTTACACGACTTTCTAAACATGATATTGATAATGAACCGATACTGCAGAGAGAACAGGCTACTGTACCATGCAGGGGTATTTTACGACTCCCTGGTACCATGCGTACTGTACTGTCCCTACAGCGGGAATTTGCGGAAACATTCTCGAAAACTTGCACAATAAATCGTGGCTGAAAACAACAAAAAGTGCGGAAAGATGCAGAACTTGCCAGAATTTTGCGGAACTATTTGCAGAAAATTGCGGATTTGGGCCAAATCACGAAATTTGTTGCATGAGTAGAATCGCTATTTCTGTTTGTGCAGTAGATCTACTCGGGAGTAGTATGAGTCGTACTGTGTGAATAACCAACATGATCATGGAAAGCACTGCGTGAAAAGTGCAGAAAACAATAAAAACGTGGAAAATCGCGGGTCTGGGGCAAAATCGCGAATTTGTTGCATCCGCATGGAATCGCGATTTCCTGGAGGGACAGACTACGACACTATGGGCTTTACTTCCGTACCACGGCCTAGTGGTAGACGTCAATGGAACGGCTCTTACACACGTTCAAGCGCGCATGAGTGTGACACCCTCCCCCCCCCCACACACCACTTACTCATGGACAACATGGCTATTAAATTTTTATGTTTGAATATACGAAAATGGTTCAGAATGTGATGCGAAAACTTTCCGAAAGAAGAGAAGCAAGAACGCGCTCAAGCCAAACAGTGCTCATACAAGCATTACATTGCAGGTATGCTTGTGTGGTACGCTTGTAGAACACACAAGCATGCACAAGTACACACACACACACACACACACACACACACACACACACACACACACACACACACACACACACACACACACACACACACACACACACGCGCACGCACACACTCATCATGCACATGTATTTACAAGGACATTGGGGAAAGAGCAGGGACAGCATTATATACAAGCAGAAACAAACAAAAAACGTTTTTAGAGAACTACACACGCACAAAGCACAGAATTTTTTTACATGGAGCACAGAAAGAAGCAGTAAAAGAAAGAAAAGCATGGGTACCGGAGCCAGCCAGCCAGCTTAGCAATAACTGTGTACACAGGATGGCAGGGGGTGGGAAAGCACAGCAGGGCAGACGTGTGGGGTGACGGGGACATGATGATATAGATAGAGGCGCACGCTCTCATAGTCATGGTTATAGCGTGTTGCTGTGGTGGTAGAAGAAGCGCATCTTGAAGTCGTCGCCGCAGGAGATGAACGCTGGCATGATGGGCGAATGGGCCATGTACGATATTGAATTTGTGTGGCCTGCACAGTCAGTCAGAGGACGAAATAGCAAGACGAAAATAAGTAAGTATCAGTAACAGATAGGCCTACTTGTACCGTAAAGTACCGCCAGAGCGCCCCACCATCTCGTCCTTTCGTGGCCGCCTTGTGGAGGTGGATTCCTGTCTGTAGGTCATACGACACGGACCTTGTACAAACATTGAACATTGTGCAGTCAATCCGTACCCAGTTTACCTTCGAGCGCCACATAAAAGCATACCAAGTGTGACCTTAGTACACGAAGGTTCTCACATCGTACAAACTTGGTAGCATTCTGCCATACGATCTTCTTCCCTTGGCTGTAAAATCAAGGTGGGGCGCTCTCGCGAGACGGGCCGCTCTGGCGGTACTTTACGGTAGTACCTGAGTAGTAAAATGCCGGTATTTTACTACCCCCTGATTACTGCAATACTGCTATTTCCTACAAAGGTTTTATCCAAACGAACAGGATAAACCCGTCAAGTTTGAGTTTCACTAATGCAGTGGACTGAAGCTGGGAGTAGAGTGAAGTACCACAAGGGCACCTCACCACTTGGACCCGCTCACGGTTACGCTTGGGAAGTCCGGTGGACGAGTGAGTGTTGACTGTGCATCATAGTCACACGTGCTGCATGTGCTGCAGTCAATCCACACTGAGTTCACCCGCAAGCAGTAGCAAACTCCACACAAGCACAGCGGGTTGTGCATGGTCACGTGCGATCCCAGAAATGCTCACACATCCTTACGCCATATGACCTCAGGTGCAGCATGCACCCTACAGCATCACTAGTTTGTGCATTGGAAAGATAATGGACTGGTGGTTCTGGTTCAGTATTTCTGTGGGGCGCGTTGCACTTTAAATTAATGGTACGAAGTTTGTAGAAGTGCAGTTCGAAATCACAAAGGGTCCTAGGATTTTTCCAAATTTAAGGCAGGTAGCATAAAGCAATCTGGTGGTGAACAAACAGCTACAGAAGAAAATACTGTTTTCTCTGTTTTGAGTTGTTCTCTAACATGCGTAGACCCCAGAAATGATACTACAATTTGGTAGTATTCGTATACGGGGATACTTTGAGAGAGAGAGAGAGATAGAGAGAGAGAGAGAACAGAGCAGGAAAACAAGCTAGTCGTGATGGGGCTGCTGCCCGGTAGGTAGGTCTTACCTGACGCAAGTGGTCTCTGCATTTCGCCAGTGCGAGAGTCCCAGGATGCGAACGAAGTCGACGTCTCGTCCACCATCATCACTGTAGCACGCATTGAACGACACATACAGAATAGGCACATCACCACACAGACATATGTACACATAGCCACATATACTATACTTGCTCACTGCCACCCCCCCCCCCCCCCCCCGCCCTTCCCTTTCGGAATATAAACAATCTAATAGGCGATTCAGACTACGGCCAAAATCACGTCTGAACTTGAATTTCCATGGTGATGCAGTCGTGTTTCAAATACAGTTGAACATCGATTATCCGACCACCTCTGGGCAGACAACTGTCAGGCGGTGTTCAGATAAGGCAAATGTTCCGGATAAGAAAAAAACTGTCACTCACACACTTTCAGTGGTTATTACTAGCCGCACGACCTTTTTACTTTTCAAAATTTTCGTATTTTTTGAATGGCTCACTACATGCACAGTGCGTACTCTACGGCACGTGCGCCCAAAAAAACTGTTACGGATAATCGAATGGTCGGATAGTCGATGTGCGGATAATCGATGTTCAACTGTAACACAATCGCTGATCAAACACGTCTGAGGCGTAGAAACGTGGTCACAGTTGGTCGTAGTCTGAGTAGCCTATTAGGGGGTCTTCCCTCACACCACACCATTCAAATTGGTCCATCCGCCCAAGTATTTGCAAACACTTGAAGTATAACCATGCTGCAAACAGCAGTCCTTATAGCAGGCTGAACGTGCTACTCAAGATACGCTTCATTTACGAGTAGCACGTTTTCACTATCAAAATTAAAATACAAGATGGGCCACAGCGAGTTAGACGCAAGCACCACACACATGCGGCCAGTGGCCGAGGCGGCTGGCACAAAAAATCTAGCTATTTCAAACCGTGGCTGTGGCGCGTGCACACACACAGTGACACACACACACACACACACGGAGAGCAGCCTACATTACACACGGCGTCTCTCGAATTAAAAAGCAGGCCAGCGGTTCACTGACCGAAATCTTCCGTGTGGTTGAAGACGGCGGGCGAACTGACCAATGCCTGTGCTGCTCCCTTGTACGCATTCACAACACGGCCTGGATTCAAAGAAAGCAGAGACATCACTGAGCTATTCACTATGACACCCACCCACAGAAAGTAACACTGAAGCATGCTTGCTACAATGCTACATGCGAATAAGGCTAGCACTTTGAAAGAACAGGACATGCGGTCACAATACGACATGTACATGTACTGTTGTGGACATGGTTATCACCCAGCAGGCAGGGTTCTTACCTGTTGACAGCTCCCATAGCAGAACATTCGAATCTTTTCCTGCCGTTAGAAGATACTGAAAGACAAAGAAAAGCAACGGGATAAATAGTATCCGACTTCCTCTCCTGATGTGACCAGGGAGAATACCAAACGTGCTACTACTACTCTGAGCCAATAACACAGAACAGTCTGGATACAGAGTAAAAGTAAGGTTCCTACATCCGTGTTACCACCGGCTTACAATTGTGCTGAGAAACACAACCGGCTTAGCAAAGTTTCGCTCGTGCCAGGCCACCACCATGCCTGCTTATACCAAGTCTGGGTGGGCAGTTGCTATTTCCTGCTGAGCAAGAAGGCAACGGAACATGTTCAGTAAGTGTGTGTAGGAAGAGCGTTCAGACAAACCTTTCCATTCTTGGTGAACTTGGCGGACGAGACCTGCAAGCAGCAGCGGCAGCAGCACACACAGGCACAAGAGATCAGCATACACCAATAGTAGATAAATAACTACTCGGCACGGAAGAGACAACACTACAAATGTTAACGCCTGTGTCAAAAGAAGACGTGACAAGGTGGAATCTTGTGTGCGTGGGTTGCTAAGAAAAATATGAGCCACAAAAGGTTCAAGACAAAGATGTGGACACCACTACAGCGGGGAAAGGAGGACGTAAGAAATGCCTCACTGCATTTTTTCCTGACCACACATACCTCTGCTCCGCCGTGCGCAGCTGCCCACGTGCTGATACAGCGATTACTGACAGCGTCCCACAACTGAAAGTGTGCACACACACATGCACACATACACACACACACACACACGGGGGAAAATACGGTATGCGCATTGACAAAAGTGAAGAAAAAAACATCCCATGACCAGCCCATTCAACAAACACCACATTCCAACTGACAGGTCAGGTTTATACTACGTGAAGGCAAAGAACACTCATTCGGTTCAGTCTATTAAACATGCACATCAAACCTAAAAGAGACCCTCAGGCATTCCGTGTGCACGTGGGTGTGTGCGCTCACCTTCACTGCACCATCTTTGGATGTACTTGCATAGACATTATAATCGGACGCATAACCAACCTGCACAGAGGACAAAGACAGCAGATGCGTACCAAAGAAGTCAAAAACTTACTCTTCTGTTCGAAATAAAAACTCGTGCGGTTGCTCTGTTGTACTCAACCCAAGTACTCAATTACATAATATGTCACTACAGCAGCAGCAGCAACAGCAGAATTTGCAGCAGTAGTAGCAGCAGCAGTTGTCATATTTTCTCTGTTTCCATCCTATGCTCTTCCTGCATTCACAGATTGTTTTGTGCTTCCAACAAAACTCATTTCAGTAGCGGCAGTAGTAGCGGCAGCAGCATTGCGTTGCTGCTGCAATTCATATCTTTATCAATCAATTTTGCTGTTCTTTTTTTGAATTCTTTACTCTCCCTGCGTTCATATCATCATCATCGGTTCGTGCGTTCAATAAAACACCTGTTAGCAGCAGCAGCATTTGCAGCAGCATTCGGAGCAGTAGCAGGCCCCTTACCGATGTGACTGCTCCGTGATGCTGGTCGGCTGCATTACACGATACGTAGCATTGCGTAGTCGCGACGTTATACAGTCGTACTGCATGGCAAGACGCAGGTGGAAAGAAGTACAAGACAAACAATTTACAAAGAATAGACGGGAATTTGCTCACACTACAGTCCATTCAGAAAATGGTCAGACTTGTGGTGTTTGAGCAAAAAATCATGAAACCGTGATGTTTTCGCAGTGTGGTGCATTGCAGAGGGGACGAAGAGTACGATTTATCAGCCAGTAAACAGGAGAGAAATACGTACGTGTCGGATGTTGCGTGGCTACGAGCATATAGTCGCCGGAGTAGTGGAAGGAAATAGATGTTACGGGCAGCACTTCCTGACAGGCAGGAACACGAACAGGAGCAAGCATAGCACACAGAGCACATTGCAGTCGGCACGTCATGTACTTGCAGCTCAACAACGACCAGATGGAAAAGAGTTCAAAAGACACAGCATGTCCTTGCTTGGTAAGGAAGAATAGGGGCCAGCGTTGGACGGGACTTTGCATGGGTATACACGCCCCCCCCCCCCCCCCCCCCCAGAACATTGCACCAATATATGCCAGGGCTTTAAAGAAAGTAAAGAACAAGGCCTGCCCAGGTAGCACGTTACGTTCTTTGAATTTGAATGAATCATGATTTCACTAGGCAGCCTCTTACATCGTAATGCCAGGTGTGCGCCACAAATACAAAATTCAAAGCAAACAGAAATCTTTCTCAGAAGATCACTAACACCAACATGGAGAACAGTTTTCAAGAGAGAGAGAGAGAGAGCTGGGAATGGCAAATACGCATGCCCCACACTGACAGTAGTTCCCATGCAACATAAGCCCCCAGAGCAACACGACCGTGCACATGACCGCGCTTACTTGGATTGTCTTAAGTGCCTTTTTCACCGCCGACTTTGAGTGATCAAACAGCTTGACAGTGCAGTCACGGCTGCCCGCTGCTAAGATCTCCTGCGTCGGGTGAAACTGCAGCGATGTAACCGTCTGCAGGGGCAGAAGAATTTTGCGTGGAAGAACAGAGGAACACGTGATTGCAATCCAAGGATCAGTCACAGGCGGATTGGGGGGAGTGTATGCCTTGCAGCAAATTGCAGATCAGCCGAGCACTACATTAACATCATAAAGTTAACTAACTGCTGATGCTTTGATCAGCCGAGCCAAACAGAGGGAGAGGTGGAGACAGGAGAGAGAGAGAGAGAGAGAGAGAGAGAGAGAGAGAGAGAGAGAGAGAGAGAGGCGGGGGCAAAGCCAGGGATACTTGTGCAATTTCAGTCTGTTTCTTAGACGCTGGATATGGTGGTGCTTTCTGCTTACCCAGAGTGGGGGGGGGGGGGGGGGGGGGAGACAAATTATACAAGATCTACTGTAAGGAGTCCCATCTACCAATGCTATGTCAAAAACAGAAGCAAGACAGATACCCAACAGCAAGCCAGTGCCAACAGAATTCAAGTACTGGCAACATTATCACAAAATCACACAAGCAAATCCCAAGCCGGTCCATTTCTTCAACTTCTTACGTCTGTGTTGTCATAGAAAGTTCGTACTACCGGATGGATATCATCTGTGCCTTTGTGCATCTTAGCCAGCATCCTGTCAACATCTAAAACCTGAGCAAGAGGCACACAAACACCAGCAGGTAAACAACATACACATTCACTACACACACATACACACTCATTACACAGTGAGTGTTTCTCAACACTGCGGTGATACTGAACTGAATCCAGCTAACTTTACTTGTGCACATGCATGCAGGCACGCACTCACGCACTCACACGTGCACAGGTACCAGTTGAGCCGAAACAAAGCGACGGTGACGAATCTGCAGCATTCTAACCAATCGAGTGAATAGCTGGAAGAAAACAGTTCACAGGCCTCCAATCTATCTTGGTTCGTTGTGTTGAAGCCATTATCTCGAACGGTTTGACCGCATGCATGATGGATGACATACTTCAAAATATGATTCTCTACGGCTCACGTGAGACTCAGTCAGACTGAGTTTTCCGCATCTGCAGGAATGCCACCACCCTCACGGATCAAGACGCAGACGCAGCTAAGCAGTGGGTGTGTGGGTGTGTGGGGGGGGGGGGGGGGGAGTAGATCAGACACGCCACAAAGTGGTCCAAGATCGAAAAATCTCAATAAATTTGCATGTCTGATTGAGAAGTAGTGAAATACCTTGATGGATGAATCTGCAGATCCTGTAGCAGCCAATCGACCTGCATAGAAACAAATAGAGGCAGAGCATATCAGGGCACATTCTTGCATGCGGGGATGACAATACTGTCACAATAGCGATGGGTTGATACACTTGAAAGGCCTCAGGAGTTTCAGCAGCGGCTCCAGCGATCTCTACAGGGGGTTCCAGCATACTGTACAAGCAGAAATATTAGTCTGGAATTTAATTTCGTCTTTTTCGTCCAACGAGCTGTTGGACTAAAATAAATGCCGGACTAATATTGATTTTAGAATTGCGATCAACAGAACGAGCTGAACCGACATTTCACAAAGGCTTTTATTGTTTTCAAAAAAACGAGTGGATACGAAGGCAGTGAAGAACGTGGAAGAAAGAAAAAATGTGATATGGAAAAAAATGATGAACAAAAATTTGTACTTCGAACTAGTTTTCGCACAACACTCCTCAGGAAGCTACGTTGTACTAATGAAAAACAATCCAGAAAGATACTAATAAAGAGAAATGGAGTGAGAAGAAACAACACCTATGAAAATGATAATCCTAGCACTAAGGTAATAAC